GTCATCTTTATTTAAATAGTTGGATCAACTTGTTGGGAAATTAAGGACACTTAAGAGCCCAACAAGTTGGCCCCAAAGGAAATAGTCAATGGAGAGTAGGATTTAGTAATGACAGTTTTGTAATTATGAGTTTTTGTTTTAAAATGGGAGTATAAATACTTCAAAACCTAAAGGTTTTTCACTATTAAATCATTATTGTCATATTTCACAAAAATCCCAAAAGTTTTCTCTTTATTTTCTCTCTTTTTTCTCCTTATTTTTCCTCTCTTTTTCCTCTTCTTTTTCTTTCTTCTCCCACGCCTCTCTCTCCTCTTCCCCCTCACGCACGCCGGCTGCCACCGGCGCCACCACCAGCCACCTGCGGCCAACAGCAGTAGTTAGCGCGCACTGCCGGCCACCCCTCCTTCTCTCTCCTTTTGTTTTTGCGGTTTGGTATTATTATTTTTATAAAAAATAAAAATAAAAGCACTTTTTCTCTTCCTAATTTAATTCTATTGTTTTTACTAATATAAAGCATGATTTTGATTACGTTTTGGTATTGATTTTAGGTATTTGATGTTGTTAAATTATTTATATAATTTTCAGATTTTTATTCAATCAAAAACCCCAATTTACAAACCCTAGAATCTGGGAATTTAATGTTTATGGTTAGGGTTTGATCCTAGGTTGTTGTTGTTTAATTAATGGTTTAAACATGTTTTTAATGAGTTTAAAGCCCTCAAATTAATGCTGGAATTTATTTATGTACACTACTTTTTAATTATTGAGTTAGGGTTTGATTACCCATAAAAGGGAAAAAGGTTTTAATGATTTAAATATGATTTCCTAGTCTATTAGTGATGTTTTATATTAAATAAGTATATTGAAATTTTATCTAAATCATAAAAATTAAGTCTTTTTGAAAGGATTTGAATTACCCACTTAAAGAAAAGGTTCTATGGCTTTTATGTCATTAAATTAGGTTGATTAGTAAGGTTTAAAGTGTATTATAGTTGCTGGAAATTTGTGAGAATAGTAGATTAATTATAGTTATGTATTCTTATTTGTAGGAAGCTTCGAGTTAGGTGATTTCTAGCGAGTGTGGCCGAGTTTAGGCGGTTTTCAAGGTACTATGTGCACAAGAATATTTGTGTATGCGTAGTATCATGCTAGGATTTGTAAAGTATGATTTAAGTGATGAATTAGTAGCATGTTTGGTTGATTATATGCTTGGAATTGATGTTGGTTGAGCATGAATTGTTATGCAAGCATGTGAATATATATTTGAGGCATGATACAAGTTGAGTATGTATGAATCATGAAAGTATGTTTTATTTTCAAGTATTAAGAAGGCATGTATTTAATAAGCAAGGCTTATATATGAATTAATTAAAGAGCTAAAGTTAGAACTATTGAGCATGATTCATGAATTTATTTCTCACCCATTTATTATTGGTGTTGAGTCAAGAAATTAATTAATTTATTTACTCGCTCATGTAAGTAGAGTTTGAGTCAAAGAAGTTTAGTAGTGCATTTTATGCACCAAGGTAGTAATCGTGCAATTTTGTGCATAAATCTAGGCAAGGAACCTTAATTAAAATAAATAGTATGTGCTCACTAATTAATTCAAGAATGAATTGGAAGTATGTATTGATTGTTATTATGTTTGTTCTTGATTGATTGGTTTGAGTCATCACAAGTTAAATTGGTAAATCACATAAAGTGTAAGAGGATACGCACCAAAACTCTTGGAACGTATATACCTTGAGTATGAACATATGGGGGGAGTTATGGGGTTTTATATTTAACCATAGCTTCTACAGGGGTACAAGACGCTGTACTTTCTTTTATTATTAATGCACTGGAATTCCGTCACAAGGTGACATAGTAGGTGCCAATTGGGGTAGCTCCCTAATTGGAAGCTTAATATTTAAATGGGCTATTTTCAAGGAAGGAAACCGGTTCGATGCATAATCCAAAATTATTATTAATAATTAATATTGCTAGTTATGAGTCAAAGGTAAGTTGACTTATGATTGTGTGGCGAGCATGTTTTGATTATTACTTTTATTGTGATGCTAGGATATTCATGTTAGTGTGGTGCATATGTACTCAGCTTTGCTGATTCTTACTTTTGTGTTTGTATTTGGCTTTCCTTTGGATTGGCCCTATTATGACCCATTTATATGGTGAGTAGAGAGTTGAATAAAGAGGAAGTAACAGGTACTTGAAGCATGAAGAGCATAATGGGATAGAGTGCAAAGAATTACTTGTTATGTTTCTTAGTTTTGATATTTTGAATTATTGGTTATTGTTTATGGACTAACAATATTATGTTTGTTTTTAATTGGTTTTTAAGAAGGGTCATGTCTGAATTGGTTCTAACTTGTGGATGTTTTATTCTACATTTGTTTTGAGGTTGTAAACTCAAGTTTTATTTTTAAAAGTTGGTTTTTATTTTTAGATTTCCGCTGTGAGACTTTGAAAATTAGCCTCAGCCGTTATCACGGTGGCGGTAATATTTTGGTTATTTCCTTGAAAGGGTTTTATTTAGAGTAAAAAGAGTATTTTAAAGGAAGGAAATTTCCAGGGTATTAGAGAGAGAGAGAAAGAGAGAGAGTGCATTTATTGTTACCCTTTAATGAAGAATAACTTGCTTATTTATAGAGGATTCATCTACTAGGTGGTTGCATGCCATTCAAATAACATACATGTTAGGTGTTAGTCGCCTCACGCCACGTGTTGTTCGCAGGACAACCTTTACCTATGCCGTTATGAGAGTATACTGATATGGTCATTATGACCTGTTTTTAGGAACCTGAGCGTTCTGTAAAAGGGGTGATATCAGCACTAGTATACCCTTTACCGGTATCTCCCCATACAACTAGCCCCCCAAATGAGGACGTCTGTGCAACTGATGTTCTCAGTTGTCCTTGTTCCTTTCGTTGATGGTTTGACATCCCTTTACGTGTTCTATCACTTTAACCTTTGGGATTCTGACTTTTAGCTCAGTCACTTCAACTTTCGGAGACTGAATTCTCATTGGAAATCAATCATTCAACCTTAGGAGACTGATTTCTCATTGGAACTCAATCATTTCAACTTTTGGGGACTTAGTTCTCATTGGAACTCAATTATTTCAACCTTAGGAGACTGAGTTCTCATTGGAACTCAATTATTTCAACCTTAGGAGACTGTGAGCAAAACATTTCGATTTGCCCCCTAAGTGAGCTTGTCTGTTGATAGCAGATAAGCTCTACTTTATATTCAGGCTGGGAGAAAAAAGTCTCCGATTTGCCCGCTAAGTGAGCTTGTCTGCTGAAACCAGATAAGCTCTACTTTATATTCAGGCTGGGAGAAAAAATTCTCCAATTTGCCCCCTAAGTCACTACTACATTTTTAACCAAATGCAACAGCCAATAAAGGGCTAATGCAACGCCATTTTTGTTACCGTCACAATAAATTAGGCTAATGCAACGGATATTACTTTACACTTCATAAGATAGAGCTAATACAACGGCTTTTTAGATCCGTTGCATTAGCTGAGCAGAAGAAGCTAATACAACGGCTAAATAAGCTAATGCAACGACAAAGAAATTCAATAATACGGAGAGGCGCTGAAAATTTCACTTATTCCCTCTAATTTTTTCCCCAAATTTTGAACCTTCTACTATATCACCGCCACACTTACAAGATAAACCAAAAAGAAAAGAAACTCTCTTATCCTCTCTCTCTCTCCTCCTTTCCCCAATTCCTCATTTTTTTTCTCAATCTCATGCTCCTACAATGGCAGTCGCTGCTACTCATTTCTTCGTCTACGCTTTAACCCTTCTAAAATTGGCTCATTAGTTTATTGTTCATAAGAAATTTGGGTTGAGTTCTTTTTATAAGTTTTCTCTTTTCTTTGTTTCCTTCTCTTCCACTCAAATTCTTCTGATTTCTACTATTGCCCAAATCTCAAAGAAAATATCGTTATTTCTTCTCATTTTATGGGCTATTAGCCCCAATTTCAACTAGTAAATTGGTGAGTTCGCTGATTTGAGCCTCGTTAATTCCGCCATATTTTTTTTAATAAGACTTTAATTTCGTCATTTACCTAGCTCATAAGTTAAATTAATTTTTGGTTTTTATCTTGTTGTCTTAATTTGGTGTTATATATGGAGTGGATTTCGATTTTGTGGTTATTTACCAAATCTATAATTTTATCAGTTCATAATTTTGTTGAATATTTTTTTATTCTTTGTTTGGTTAATAGTTATGTATAGAACTCGTTATACTGTGGTCTTAGTTAGTTATTTGCAATTCTATAATATTTTTCTCTATAATTTATTTTTCTAAAAATTAATTATTTTGAAATTGGAGCTCCCCTTTCTAGATCTGTTTAAATTGTAGAAGAAAATTGAGGAATTAGGATAGGAAAGGGCCGATAACGACCAAAATATATGTAATTACTGTCGAGAATTTTTATTGAAGGTCTTTACTTTTTCTCTACTACCTTATCAATGGCAGATCAAAGGTTTCTAGGAAATAGATAATTGTTTGTTGAATATGGTTTTGTAGAGGAAGTGAATGGAGGAGGAGACACACTTTGTGTGTGAGGTGTGGCTTTCACCATTCCCTCTTCAGCAAAGTCGTTGCTTTGGTTGTAGATCTCCCGTCACTCGCAAGAGAAAATATAATCTTTCTCTTCATTTTTTAATCTCTTCTACAAAGTTATTTTTGTAGTTGTTATTATTGATATCTAGCCTTTAATATTGATATTGTTGTGGGTGTTTTTGTCTCTGTTGTCTACTGTTATGTAAATTGTAAATTATAAATTTTAATAGCCGGAGAGCCACTAAAATTCTTAGTCAAAACTTATGACATACTTATGCATCTGTCTTTCAAATGGCCTATTTCTTGTTCTATAGATGATTTGTTGTCAGGTCAAATCTAGGATGCTTAAAAATATATGGCCTTTCAATTGAATGTCTTTTATTTTACTACGAATTGTAATTGACTTTGTAAATTTTTAATTTTAAGGCGCCCTTCTGTAGGCTACGATGCTTCTTCTGATTTCGGCTAGTTCTTTGTCACATTTCTTTCTAACCACTTATTTGAGGTAATGCTCTTTCGTCAACATTATTGTGAATAACTGCATCTTGAAGACTTATAGTATGAAGTGATAGAAGTTAAAAAATAAAGCTAATACTTGGGTAGCAGAACATTGTTTAGTGGTCCGATGCAATTTATATTAAAAATTGTTTCCTCTACCGGGTTCTTGTTTGAAGATTTTTCCTGCTGTCAGCTTTTTGTATCATGAGAAAGTTGTGAATATTGAATCTGTTGTCCTTTTGGGTTACTCTTAAGAAAATGTAGTAGAAGACACATGGTTTGTAAAATCAGTTTTCCATTCTATTTAAATAATTATAGTTGATCAGGCCATTCTTGATTCTTGCTACTAATTTTCTTTATGAGTTTGTTTAGAGGTATTGAAGTATTATTAATGTTCGTATTGGATATGAGTTCACAGGGTATGATAATATGAAGATAAAGCTTGACAAAGATAATTTATCACTTTGAAATACTTTGCTTGGTTTCGTATAATTTTGTTGCATGTATAGTAGTTATCCTACTCAATTCTGATTAAGGGTGTTTTTTTTTTTTTTTGGTTTATTCTCCTGTTGTATTATCTATATATAAAAAGAGCATTAGGATCTTTGATTTTGTATACATGGCTAAATTTAATTTTAATTGATTTTGCCAAGCTTAAATTGACAAATGTACATAATGAAGCTTGGAAAACAGTGACAAGATATATGAGCAATAAAAAACAATCTCATATCAATGTCAAAATGTAACTTCTTTAAGCTTTTGTGTTGCTGCAATGTTGGGATGTTTATGTTGGTTGTTATGTTGCTTTTGATAACTATAGGACATCTAGTGCTCTAAATTTGTCTTTATTTTGATCCAAACACCCAATTTTGTTGTTAAAAATGGTTACAGGAAGAGCAGACTTAGTTGTTGTTCTTCTGAAGATATTGCATTCTTGAAAGTCTGTGAAATAGGGGAAATTGATGTAAAAGGGAGGGGGTTGTTTTTACTCGTTGTATGGATAGTTGGGTGCCCTGGTTTATTGTTTTTTAGATGTGTTTGGTGTGTGCCCTCCTTATTTGGCTTATAGTTGCTGCTGGTTGCCGCTTCTGGTTTGGTTTCAGTGTTAGATCTGATAGTGGCAGATCAACAGCTCTTGTTCAGGGTTCTACCTGCTTGCAGCCTGTTTTGTGCTTGTTGTGTTTTTGTTTGGTTTTGGGTTGGCTGCTGTCTGTATTGGCTTCAGGGTGCTGCTGTGTTGTGGCCTGCGGTCTAACATGAGTATTATTGTATAGCTGGATTCTCCGTGGGTTTTGAACTTTTCTCATGTTGATTGTGGCCTTGATCTATATAATTTATAGTTTAGTTCTATTGTATTTCTATTATTTTATTCTATTTTATGTGTAGGTGCATGGGGAGCTAAATGGAGCTGAAGTATAGTAACTAGCTAGTCATCTAACAAATGGCGCATATATGTTGGCGACTCTTATTCAAGTTCAAGTTTGTGAAGATTTGGAAATTCTGGCTTATATATATGTTGAAAATTTGTATTTTGGAGGATTAAATTAATTATATAACTTTTATTTATTATTAGTAGGGTGTCATACAAAAAACAAGCAACTAATATTTTATAATGTACGTATTTAGCATTATAATTATTTTATATAAATTTAATGATATTTTGTTTCTTAGTATATTTAGATTTGTACTGACTATTTATACATATATTATATTACCGTACCATTCAAAATAAAAAAAATAAAAAAATAAAAAAAAGATCAAATGATCAATCCGTTGCAGTAGATACGTACTCCATATATCATTTGTATTAATTAGCTTCATCCGTTGCAATAGGTGTCAATTTCATCATAATTAGTAGTTAGTAATCTATTACAACAGATAATTTATACCGTGGCATCAGGTGTAGAGCTAACGCAACGGATTATAGCTACCGTGGTATTAAGTGTTGTATACTGTTGCAATAGACCTACTGCAACGCCAGTAAATGCCACGTTACATGGTCGTTGCATTAGGCCTAATGCCACGGAATTTGACGCCTAATGCAACGGAGTTGGGGGTCGCAATAGGTAAAAAATGTAGTAGTGAGTGAGCTTGCCTGCTGATAGCTAATAAGCTCTACTTTGTGTTCAGGCTGGGAGCAAAAAATCTCTGATTTGCCCCCTAAGTGAGCTTGTCTGCTGATAGCAGATAAGCTCTAATTTATATTTAGGGTGGGAGCAAACAATCTCCGATTTTCCCTCTGAGTGAGCTTGTCTGCTGATAACAGATAAGCTCTACTTTGTATTCAGGCTGGGAGCAAAAATCTCCAATTTTCCCCCTAAGTGAGCTTGCCTGCTGATAGCAGATAAGCTCTACTATGTGGACTAGTGCTCTGATATGGAATAGGCGGGGACTTTGACCAGTCAATGGGCATGTGTCCTTAATCTGTACTGCGAAATTTGAAGCGTCGCTGTTTCTGGGCCGTTGACTAAAGAATCTAATCAACCGCCATTTTTTTATGGCTATTTATTGCTTTAACTATCATTGTTCATATAGACTTTGCTCTTTAGAAATCCCAAAAACTTTTAAGTCTGCGATACGTTGATCGCTTCTTTCGGTTTGGTTGTCGCCCATTATTTGCTAGCTTCACAAGGGATTAAGTTCTTCTTGTCTTCTGTAATTCTTCTTGCGTGCCATCGTATTTGTCGGTTGAATATTTGAAGGTATTTCAAACCCTAACTTTAAATTTTGCATGCTTTTGATTTATGCGATTTTAGTGTAATTGGCATTTGTAAATGTTTGATAGTAGTTTGGAGGAGGAACAACCTACCCTTAGTACTGTTAGGCGTCGCCTTATTAGGCAGTCTTTGGGTAAAGATATCGGTAGAGCCCAAGGTACAACCTCGTCTCTTTTTGATAACATTGACGATCCATTTCAGCCGTTATCCGCTGAAGAACAAAGGCAAGCCTTTTATCGTCATAAGATTATTGTTGATTGTGAGGATCTTTGTATCCTGATAATCCTGAATTGCCTGCTGATATTGAGGTGCTTGACGTCGAGCCAGTTAGCATCGGGTATCACTTGCGTAGTTTTGTAGATAAGCCAAAACTTGATTAATACGGTTCCAACATTGGTCATATAGGGATCAGAACCGCAACAATGTCGAGAGTTAAACAGACCAGTTACCACCAGTTATCCTGAACCATCTCCCGATAAAGTTGAACCTAGCTGAAGGCCCGGTACAGCATATGTAGTAAGTTCTGATAAGTCAGAATCTGAAGATCATGAGGTAAGTCAAAATGACGACAAGGGGTCTAAATCTCCTGTTCATGTATCAGCTTTCAACTCTGTTCTCGGCAACGAGGGAGATGGTGATGAGGAAGTAAATCAAGAGAAAGGCAGGAGTGTTGGGAAGGAGGAAGATATTGTGGATTTGATGGCGCAGATTACTAAAGAAAAAAGCCTAGATGAAGGCTATAACTCCGAAGAGGACGACACAGAGCACCGACAACCTCTGGTACTACCAGCCGATAGCAAAGTGGCTAAGGCAAAAATTAGCAAAGTCTAGCATAAGCTGGCCTTGGAAAAGGACTACTGCCGGCATGCAAAGCGCTTTTATCGGCTGCCTGAGGGGTATGAGCCGACCCTTCCTCCTCTTGAGTCTTCTATGCTGGATTGCCCAACTGGGCACATTGCAATTTACGCTAAGCACCTCGATTTCGGCCTCCGTTTTCCCCTTCATCCATTCATAGCCAAAATCTTGAGGGCTTGGAACGTTTGCCTTGTGCAGCTCACTCCTCCCACTATTCGGGCAGTAGTGGCCTTGGTTTGGGTTATGTTGTATAAAAACTTCCCTTTAACCCTTAACCTATTCAGGAAGCTGCTATGGATAAAACGGGATGACCAATCTGAGGGGTGGTGGTCGATCTACACAGCTCCTTACAAATATACTGTTCACCCTAAACTATCCAGCTGTAAAGGCTGGCAGGACAAGTTTTTCTTTATGCGTATTCCTGACAAATTTCCGATTAGGAGAACATTTTATCGTCAACATTCTCAATTTGATACTATCGCCGATAGAGGCTTTGGTGCACAAGAGCGCAAGGCTTTTAATTATTTTGACATTGAGGAAATTGATTTGGGTGATGACCGCATTCAAATAGTCCCAAGGGTGTGGGTGCCGAACGTGAAATACATTATCGACAACTCCCCTTTCTCTCATGTCGGTTTATGCACGACCGACAGTTATGGTACTCTTCTTATGTTTTAGTGTCATTCTTGTTTTCATTATTCCCGATTTTCGGATTTACAAGCATTAGCTCTTTTTTTTAACATAATTTATCTAATCGGTATCGTATGCCTTTTTCAGGGGTTGAGAAGTTGGACAAGAAAGTTCTTGGTATATCTGTCGATGGCAAGAGGGTGCTGAAGCGTTGTCCGAAATCTCCCATGCCCAGCTACGATACCCTTGCCACTTACTGCAGTCGATCCTTTGTACGAAAGCCTAAGAGGAAAGCTGAAGAGATGGCTGATGAGAATGCCAGAAAGAGCACCAGACACCTTGTGTCTTTTGCTAACAGGCGTGGTGGAAAGGGTGGAGTTGTTAGTTTGAGGAAGGAAGACGAGTAGCTCGCTAAGAGGGCATCGAGTAGCAACAAAAGCAGCAGGCCCCACATCATAAGGATCAAGATCCCCAATAACAGACCCAGCCACAACAGCAAAAGCGATCTGACCCTCCTATCCAACCATCAAAGAAGACTATGCCGGAAGGAATCACAGTGGAAGAGATTAAAGACTCTCCACCTCTCAATCAGCCTACAACAATAGATCACTCCGAGCCACAAGCTAAGGCTCATACCGGCTCTAATGTGAGCGCACCCGGCATTGTATACTGGGCAAATTAGTGGATAGAGCGGCCATCCAGTAAGATTCCTGACGAGGTCGCAAATAGATTCGCCATTCCTGACGGCAGTTCTTGAGATCGATGGCAGCCAGAGCTGGATGTATGTCGGAATGAATCCATCTTTACCAACGACCCACTTCGAGGGGGTAACTTAGGATATCAGTTGCTTCATAATCTGGCTACTCCTGTTGATAGGCCCGCTAGCCTTGTCGGCCCAGTTGCTGCACAACATATGCATGATTTAATGAAGGAATCATATCAAACTAACATGGTTACATTTCTAGCTAAACTTTACGGCATGTTTTTTACTTTAATTCTTTCTAACACGCTTCGTTATTGCGTTGATCACATAGGTTGTTGCCTCCGGTACCGAGCTTGTTGAGATGTACCGGTATTATCAAGAGCAACACTACCAGGCTGCACTGGACCCGCAAACCACGGAAGCGGCTCTAAAGAACGCACAGAAGGCTCTTGACGGCGTTATTGCGGCAAAAAAGAAGGATGATGAGGAGCTGAAAGCTCTTAGGGAAAAAGCCGACAAGTTCAAAACTGCCGAAGAAGAGATTATAGATTTCCATCAACAATTGGAGGTGAAGGCCAAGGTTGTTGATCGGCTGCCAGTGGTACAAAAGGAGCTTGATGATGCTAAGGGTGTTGCCGGCCTTTTAAAGGAGAAAATCCAGAAAATGGAAGCCGACAAGCCTGGCATCCGGTAGAAAGTTGTTAGTCGGTACTTGAGGTCTGCTGATTTCATAGAAAGACTTTAGAACCGTGATGACGGTGGGTGGACTGCAGCTCAACGGTGTGTTGTTCAGGTTACCGGCTAGACGGAACCTGACTGGGTTAAGGTCGAGGCAGCCTTCAACAACAAAGCTCATGAGAATGCTACCGGTTTTGAGCAACAACAATTTGCTAATTAGGATCTCTTTAATGCCGATCCAAGTGGAGATGACGCTTTGGTGGACCCCTAGCCTTCTGAACTTTCTAGTACCTGAGGGAACGCAAGAACCCCAAGCTTGAAGGGGCGGGCATTCATCACCGATATCATCTTGCGGCTCATGTTTACTTGGGCCTTATCAGCATTGATGTTTTGCTTTTGAATTTTTGTTTAACCATAAAACTCTTTACCTTTCACTTATGCCGTTTATTGGCATGTACCCTTTTTTGTGGTGATGCCTGTCGAATGTATATTGCTACTTTGATTATCAATTTGCTACTTTGATCACGCTTACTCTTATAATTACCTACGTCTTAAAAATGATTCTTATATGACAAGACGTTTTGTATGTGATCATAATTTTTTATATAAAAAGAACGTTTTGTATTTGATCATGTACACTATCTGCTCCCCCCTTAGTGAGTGTACGTGCATAGCTGGTGCATTCACTAAACAATGAATACGTTAATATTTGCATTTCCATTTCCGTTTTCATCTTTCAAACTTATATATCATACGCATTTCAATTTCCATTTTCATCTTTTTAAATAGCTTTTTATTTGAAATTTTTATGGTGATTGTTTTGTAATCCGTTCTAGCTTTTTTAGATTACTATATCTACCGTAAATAGGCCTTCTGTCGACTTGCCATTTTATATGAATTGTATGATGTCGGTTCAAACTATTACACTGGCCATTTGAGTAGTAACTGTTTGGCACCTACTCAAACACCTCTTTTGGCTATCTTTTACCATGGTTATGCCTCATGCCGACATATACCACGTTCTGATTTGGCTGGTATTATACTTTAAACCTATAGCCTCACGAA